TGCTAAGGGTGTGGAAAGAAGGCCCAGAAAAACAGCAAGATGGGGTGTGCCAAGGATTTTTGGAAAATTGAGTGTGGGGACACAGACAAAACTGAAATCCCCCGTGTTGGCCTRATGAAGTAAGTCGGTTGCTTTCGCGCRTCGCGGAATGCGCACGCGTGCTCGGCGCGAAAAGAGAAAAATCCAAATTCAATCCAAAAAGTATTGTCGAACTTCCCACCGCGCTATGGATCTTCATTTAGAGCGGAAGRGCTTCGGTACACTCCGCGTGTCCCGTTTTCGTATCGAGTCCCGACGCYGCTCGTTGGACAATTCCGAGTCCGACGTGGATGGTCTCAACCGTGTGGCTCTTTCCTTRTGCTCGTCTTCACTCCGTATCCGGTAGTGGAAGCCCTTTGATTAGTAGCGATCGAAACGCTGGCACTCARTGCACAGGGTTCGAGGCCAATGGGGCGCCACTGYCGTCCACGGAATGACGATCAACTCGTTAAATGGCAACAGCACGGAGTAAGGTGGGAAGTGCGTATCGATAATGACAAASCCCRCATCCACGAATCCAGAAYAACGATTTTCGGGAGGGAAGTAATATCGTTCGTCGATCCGTGCGACAACTTCTCGTAYGTCCCACTCGCAAATACGTGTCCTTTCCTCGTTGTAAGGGAAGGGGCACGTTGTCGAGGGAGATACGGGAGGCTGGCGCCCGATCGAGGTACGACCGTCAGTCCACATATCAATCAATCAAAATGAGTTTGCAAAAACCCCGTAGACGTCATCAAAAAGCACAATCGAAAAAGAACTAACTAGTGTTTTTCCTCCCTTCGACACGGGAGAAGCGAGTTACGGAGTTCGTACAATCATGCAATAGTCGGGTTGGAGTTTCAAGAGATCAACCCGCGACTCAGTTTCTGCAGACCAGTTCGACAAAGACCCGAGGCGCCCGACTTTTTCGAGGCTTACCCATAGACTGTCTGCAGATGTCGTGCAACCTAAGGCAGATGGCATGCAGTGCATTCAAAACGACAGATCTAAACATTCTTGCATTCTCGAACAAAATCCCGTCGAACGCTGGGTCTAATCAACGCAAAAATACAAGCATTTCTATACGTACATCCACTGTGGAAGGTGCGAAAATGACAATGGTGCATCGAAAACAAGTCGAGGGGTGGTACACACGCGTCCACCGTTCACAAGACAAGATGATTGAGCTTCCTTGCATCAGGGGATTACCCAGGAAACTAATGGAAGAGTTTCGGAAGAAGTTCTTATGTGCGAGAAATCACGAGGATTCACTTCTGTTCATAGGAGAGACATACGCATAACACATCGCCATTCAATTCAGAGAGAGAGAGATGGGAGAGATAGACGAGAAATGTCGAGACAGGGGACACCGGAATCCGACAAGGAAACATTCGGCTTCGCAGCCATGAACTCACACAAAGAAAAATGATCCGCAACCATGAAGGCGCATTCGTCGTGAAATTCAAGTATGGCCCYGGGCCAATCATCCACTTAACTCCAATTACTGATCCTTATACCCGCACCGACGGTCCCGACMGTCTCGTGCTAACTTCCACCTCTGCGATTGTCACCCCGCTGACGCAAGCTCGACACGGCTCGCCCGGATCCCACAGTCCRTCGTGGYGATCAAGMGCGCAACMGRCCAGCGTACGGTCAGCCCGACATGACTTTTCGACTCGCACCAAACGCATCACCTAGGCACTGCTTCCCAGAAGTTGGCTTGCGAGTGAAAAACGTAAGAGAGTTTTGCGGGCGTGCTTGCAGAATTTATAGTTGCGAAAAAGGAGACAGACGGGGGAGAAGACAAAGGGGAGATCGAGGTGTAAGAGGAGAAGATTCAACGAGGGGTGCTTAAGGGAAGCCATGTTGATCCTTYGGAACTCGGTGTTCARCCGATCAGATTCGTCGCGCAACAGGGAGATCCTCGTGCTCAACGCGTCTGATTGGTGAGCGAGAGTAATCGGAGGATCAACCGGGCTTCGTGAGCCAAGGTTGAGGAACGRGAGGGAAAGAGGCGCGAAAAGCAGCGTGAGACGGGTCCAAGATTCAGATGATCAAGAAGGGAAAAGCAGGCGCGCAACAAGCACAGAGAGAGGGGAAAAACAGTTGCGATAGGAGAAGAAGAGGAGGGAGAAGGGAGAGAGAGAGAAGAGAGCGCGGGGGAATAATGACGCGGGAAACAAGGAGGAGGAAGCTCACATGCGCGGCACCGACAACAAGAGAAAAAGGCACCAAAACAGTTACAGCTTGCCTATGTCCTAAACCAATTCAAAAATTGAAATCACCATATCTGCGCGTGAAAGTCGAGGCGGGAAAAGAAAGTCTTATGCCTGTCCGTATTCTCACAAAATTCCTACAGTTTTCTCTGTCGTGACCAAGAACATTCATGCAAAGAAAAAGATACGTCAGGTTCCGCTTACTCCAGAATTCCTAACTGTCAAGCCCGATTCCCAGTATGCTCGCTAAGGCGCGCGTAATTTCCCATGCATTTCCCGAATTACCAAAAGCAGAATTGCAAGAATCAATAGAACCTCCGAAAAATGGGGGCCTAAATAAGGCACCTGAAATCAGGAAAAGTGACGGGGGCTTTATTGGGTCGGTTTGATACAAGGAGGGGGGGGATTGAGACAAGGGGTACGAAAGGTAGCACGGGGTCGGGAAGGGGTTCGTCACATGTCTCTGCCATGTCGGTTCTGTCATCCTCCACGGCTTCCAGTGGATGTTGTGACCTGCATGTAACTCGGCGAAGATATGGTGCAGGTCTCGCTAGAGTTGGTTGTAAGTCTCCGTGATGGTTGCCCGGGCATTGGGGTGCTTTCTTCGTTGTAGTCCCATTTGAAAGATTTCTATGCCTCGTGTGTACGGGACCTTATTTCCTCCTGAATTTCCTGTTGAGATTGTTGCAGTCCTAGTTGGTGGTCCCTTCTTTCGTGGGAGCATTTGGTTCTCCAGGCTAGCATAAGGGCTGGCAACCTCCTCGAGGAAAAGAGGTTGGTTGTGAAGGGGGACCACTGTGCCAACTGGTGTTGGTTCTTACCCAACAGTAGAAGCATGAAATGCCATGGGATATGCAGTCCTGTGAGGGAGTGAAAGGCCACATCCCACCATTGCCACAACTGGGTGACCATGGGGCATGCCAACAGGCAGTGCTCAAGCGTAGCGCAGGCTGGAGGCGTCACCCTGCCACAATAAGTACAGATGGCGGGTAGCAGGCCTCTCTGCTCAAGGTCCATCCTCGGTACAAGCTAGTCCGGGGTGGGCAGGCATTGGTGCAGAATCTGCCATTGCAGATCTCTGAAGTTCAGTGGCATGATCTTAGAGAACTTCGAGCAGGGCAAGCTTTCCAACATTCACAGGTCCATAGGCGTCTCTCGAGCCCATCTTTGGGTTATTGTTTGATCGATTCGCAGGGGGGGATGCTCGGCTCTGTAGCACCCTTTGACTGTGCAATCCCAGATGTGCAGTGGCTTGGGATCCGGTCACTCCCACTCCCCCGGATCAAGCGGGAGTCAAGCGACTGGGGTTGTAGGCTCGTATACACTGAGTCCATCTTAGGGATCACCCACAACTCTTACTTGCATCAACCCCCCCCAGTTTACTTCGCCATCCAGATTGTCATTTCGTGCCAATTCCGAAAATCTGGCGCCGGGCAGGTGAGGACCGTATGCCTCCACAAGGCACTGTCCCTCATGGTTAGCTTCCACTAGTTTATGGAGGGTGAGACTAACGTTGTTGATGCCCCCCCCAATGTCGCCACTGCCTTCCCTCACCTAGTTCATTCTTCGTTTTCGTTCATGTTTCCTGAACTTCTGATCAAGTTTTTCTCTGCTATTCTGACTGCTTGTTGCAACTCTTATTCCCTTCTCTTTCGTTTGGTCGCCATCTGTCTAGCTACTACAACTGAGGCTGTCGTCGGGGCATTAAAAAGGTAAGGGAAGCTTTGTACCTCCGGTCTGTGTTTCAGGCATGTCTCTGCTACTGCTTGTGTCATCTTTGGAGTTTGGAGTAGCGAGTTATTTAGCTTGAAGAAACTTTTCTCCCGCTCAACCTACTTGTTAGTGATTAGGTGCAGGAATATGGGTTTGTGGTCTAGTCCGATCGCATAAGGCAGGTCCCCTATCCCTACTATATGAATCATTCCTATTAGGCCCGGATAAATTAAGAAGTAGTTAATGAGAGACGCCGAAACGTGTTGACTGCGATTTCTCTTATAGTAGGTGAACTGTTTCTCTTCCGGAAAATAGAGTCTCTACGGATCTATCAGTTCTCTGCCCACGATCATGTTGTGGATCGCCTCCCTCCCTTCCTTCTCATTGTTTGCCCGTTCTTGACATGCGGTCCATACTGGGGTCTAAAGTGGCATTCTAGTCCCCTACTAGAATGAGATGTTTGTCCGGCTCAAGTACTTCTTGCATATTTTCTATCACTTGAGGTCTCTATTGGGACCCATTTGGGCCATAGATTGCCAATAATGTATATTCCTCTTCTTGAAAGGTAAAATTTATTTTTGCCCATCTTCCTTCTGTTGTATCCGCTTGAGTGTCCATCACTCTATCGTTTTTTCGGCTGTTGCCCTCCTATTCTGTAGTATTACCACTTTTGTTGAGTGAGGTCTCCCCCCGGTGCCCAGACTGAAGTCTTGACCCATCTCAACTTTTGTAGCAGTCTGTTCTAGGTCTGTTGGTGCATTGGAGTGTACAATGTGTTTCTTGTAGGCATAGAAAATCGAGGGCAGTTGTATCAAACCATTGTGTGTGCTTTGTGATGTTTCCCCATTTATCATGATTGTCCAAGACTTGTGTCAATCCATTCACATTCCATGAAGTGATTCTTAGCTCCGGAGTACGGTCTCTTACTTGTTTTGTCCTCGCCTTCTTGACTTGCCTCCCTTCCTCCCTTTGTTCCATGAGAATATTGTCCACTCCTACTGGACCTTATCATCCCCTGTACTTGTTTAGGAACCGAGAAGTGCTAGGTCTAACTCGCCTTTGGCTCGATCCTCTTCTCCAAGTAGTTCGGCTTCCACACAAAGGTGTTTAATTCCACTGTTATGGCTGCACTTCTTGCTGCCCATTCCGGTATCTCGTCTCCCCCCAGTAAGCCATAGGGGATCGTCTCGTCCACCTGCCATGACATCCATATGAGGTCTCCTTTCAGTATTGTTGTGTCGTTTAAGTGCATCAGGATCAGTCTGAAGTCCGTCGTTGCTTCATCCCATCGGTGTCCTTTGCTTACCATTCCATTTCCTTCTTATCTCCCAGCACGTAGGCTCTTGTGGGGATGACCTCCACAATCCTTTTCCACAGATCCTTGCTTGAGAAAGCGCTGACTTCCGTGGTGATGAGTTGAAGAGACCAATGGATTGCCACCTCCTAGTCTGGGTACTTGTCATCCCAGCAGCAAGGGTCGAGCACTCTCCCTCTTATTTCATTATTTGCATTGAGTCTTGCTGCTGCCTCAATTTCCTTTTGTCGTTCGTGCGCAATTTACTGCAGGTTTATCGTTGCTTCCTTGAATTCCCAATTCTTCTCTTTCAGTGTGTTGACTTGAGCTTCTATTCGCCGCTTGTCTCTGCAACTCCACCATCTCTTCCTCTTCCATCTCCCTCTCCCTTTCTTCCCCTTCTTCCTTCTGGTCTTCCGTCCCTAGCTGCGCTTGGGACTCCTGCAATCCGCGTAGCCCTTGTCCCTGTTGTGTTGTGCTCTCCTATTACTCTTCGGTCCGCCCTTTGTGCTTCTTGCTGCTCTGTTTCTTCTCCCATATGTCGACGACCAGTGAAATTTCTTGCGGTATTCCTTGTGGATGTGCACCTCATTTTTTTTTGATTTGGTCTTGCAAGCGTATCGCACCACATAGAACTCATTTATCTCTCGCTCCCGTTTCAACAACTCATACTTCTTTTCGGAGGTTATGTCATCCGGTGCTTGTGTGGCTTTCTGCTGATTGAGCAAATGCTTGTAGTGTGCCATTCTGACCTCAGATTTTATATGTCTTCCCCACTCTAGTGCTTCCACTATTTGTGTCCACCGTTCCAATGTGTCCTCCTCTTCTTCCCAGTCATCCTCTTCTGATGATATGTCAGTGTCTTCGTCCTCGTCTTCCACGGCTCTGTCTCCTTGGTCCTCTTCTGCCTGTTTAATCTCCTCTTCTGATAGGTTCTCCCGACCCCTCATGGAACGTTAACTGACCTCTCTAGTTGTCGATCTGCTGTTGGTTGGGGTCTCTTCATGTGATATCTCCATAAATTTCCCTTTTGGGCTGCTTGCCTCTCCTCCTGTCTGTTGTTCTGTCAATTTTGGTGTCTGACTCCCGTTTGTTCCATGGCTGGTCCATGTTGTCTCCTTGCTCCTCTTTATGTGCTTCTTGATATGTTTGGCTTTCTCCACGGTTTTCCCCTGCTTTCTGCCTTTGATCTTGCATGTGGGCCTTGCGGTTCTCCATGAACACTTGTTCCGCTGTCTTCCCTACTTGGTGCAGTTCCTCCATTGTGCTGATTCTCTATTTGTCGTCCAGAACCATCGATTCTTCAATCATTGGTTTAATAAAAAAAAACGGTGTCCTTGTTCTCCATTCGGTTATATCGTCACCATTGCACCCAAAAACGGTTTCTCAACATCGTTTGACAATGTCTAGATGCATCCGCCATCAGTGGTCTAGGTGGCTTCCAAGCTTGTATCGTCACCACTGCTCCACGACACTTCAAGGATCCCAAGGAAATGAGGTACTGCGCATATGTAGGATCCACGCAGACAATCATAACCATGAATCTTCCTCTCTTGTGGTAGGAAGCTTCCGGTTCGTGTCCTGGTATGTTCTCCAGGGCTCTCAACCGGTCCATCACCCAACGTCTCTTCTCGTTCACGGTTTTTACCCGCAAAGTTAAAAAGTACTGCATGTTTCTTGTACACGTCGTTGAGCGACAATATATTTTGCTTCGGGTACTCCCACACATCCGGCTCCTCCTCCTTTCCTCCCTCCCCCTTGATTACTTCCTTTGTGACCTTAATTGGGGTGGTAATTTTGGTTTTTTCCAACAAGAATTCCATGGCCCTCTGCCCGAGCGTTCTTGGTTTGGATGTGTCCCCTCCTCGCGATGACGTTGCCTGTGATGTCGCCTATATCGATTGCTCCCTCGTCGCTTGTTTTGCTTAGTCAAATTGCCTTTTCTCTGCTTCGTTCATTGCCTTCTGCGCCGCCTGCGAGTATGATGCCGGTGCAGTTGCTGCTAGAGATGTTGTCGATGGTGTTGCCATTGCTTCTCCCCGTTTTTTCCGTCCTTTCGTAATTTTTGTATTTTTTGTTTTTTTGTTCGTGTGGGTTTCCTTCTCTCCCTCGATTATGCTCCTCCTCCCTGTTCACTGGCTAAATTCTCTCCCCTGTTGCTCGTGCTGAACCCTGTGCCAATGTCGATCACCTTCACTACGTCCCAGAGTTGCCGACCTCCTATCACGTGTGCTTGGGCTCTTCGTAACGTTGACCTCCTTGGGTGTTGCCCGCTGCTTGCATCCCCTCTCCCTAGTGCCTCGCTTCGGCCCTTCTTCGCCTGCTTGTCACCAAGTTAACTCCCCCGATTGTCCCCTCCTCTGGATATCCCCGAGCTAGTGGGATGTACCATCCGTGGGGCTTTTACCCACGGTGCTTGATGATGGCGCGATGATGTGGACCACACGTTGTGCCTCGACTTTTCTCCCTTTTTTAATTTTCCTTCCAACTTTTGTGTTTTCTTGTAAGTTTTGTTTGTGGGGCTTTTCTTCTCCCTCTCGTTTCTACTCCTCCCTATTTGCTCGCTAAAGTTTCTCCGCTGGTGAGCGTGCGAACCCCTGCGTCCGTGTCAGTCGCTATCGCCTCTTCTGTGTAACCGTTTGAACGTCGTGAACGCGCGTTCGCGTTCAAATGTGCGTTTGAACATGGATTGCACGTTCGCGTTCAAAATTGAACGGCGTTCAATTATTTTTTATTTAAAAAAAAAAAAATTTAATGCCTAAAAATAACTTTTTTTTTCTGATTTTTGTTTTATGAGTTCTGTATGATGTGAGGTACATGCCTCTCAATTTTGGAGTCATTTTGCTAAGGCAAAATAAAATGAAAAATCGCCAAAGATGGCGGTGTCAAATCGTGTTCGCTCACTAATTTCAATTCTTTTTTTTACTTTTTTCTATTTTCTGTTTTCTATTTTTTTTTTCCAATTTGATAACGAATTTAGATGTAATGCTCAGGCAAATGTTGTTTATTTTATTTTTCTTCATAACATTTTTTTTTTTCGGAATTTTTTGAGGTGGATTTTTTTTTTTTTTTTTTTTTTCCACGCGCGGAATTGAACTCCGCGTTCGGTCCCGTTCATTGAACGCGCGTGCATTCCGTTCAATTTCTGAACGGAAAACCCGCGTTCAATGAACGCGCGGTTTCACAGCGCCTCTTCTCAAAATTGCCGAACTCCTATTGCGCGTGCTTTTGCTCTTCGTTATGTTGACCTCATCGGGTGTTGTCTGTTGTTGGCGGTCTATCTCGTTGATGCTTCACTTCACTTCTTCTTTGTCCGCCTGTCGTCGAGTTGACTTCCCCGATTGCCATCTTGTGGGAGGTGGTGCGTGGCACTTTCAGGGTTTTACGCCTGATGGCGTGATGGGATGTACCATCCGTGGGGCTTGACCCGTGGTGCTTCGGTTATGGCGCAATGGCGTGGACCATGTGCAGTGCTTCGACGATGGTCTGCCGTCGGCATTGCGTTGCAGCTTCGCGGCTTCGTTAACACAGCGTGCGCGCTACCCCGGCGGCGCAAGGATTCCCGGCCTCCTTTTGCTCTATATATAATGAAGCATGCTATTTGTTAAAAAAAAAAGAAAAAAGAAAAAAGAAAAAAGAAAAAAGGAACAGACAAAGACATGCATGCCCGGACTCAGAATAGACAAAGCATTCTCACGCCTGTCTGGAATCAAAAGCAAGGCCCTATTCACAATGTCGGGCTCTGAGGCCCATATAGAAGGCCCTAGGCATGCTACTAGGTCTGAGCTTGAGATCCACTCGCCCTGCCACAGGAACGAAGGCTATTGAAATTTGCTTCAGACACCTTGCCACAAACAATCTATATGCGGAGGGCTCCAATGTCGCAAGTCCCCAAACGTCTATGACCAACAGCACCATTCACCGAAACTCGCTAAGTACCTGACATGCCTGAAGACTCATGAACCCTTTTAAGGGATGCTGGACGCGGTTTCCAGCAGGTGCAGCTCCCCACCAATAGACCGGATCCATCTACAGGGAGCGTACTACTGGGGGATGCTTATATCACCCCCCGCAGTAGCCCCTGCAGATGTTAAAAGAAAAAAAAGAGAAGGCAGTCACTCATTTTGGGGTTTTCGGGCATTGGAAGTAGTTGAACAGCCTCTGGGCAGGGCAATTCGATCTTTGCATTTGACTTGCTATGAATGGACTCCATAACTTGGAAATGCAGAAAGTCCAGTGGTGAGCAGCAACTAAAAACTGTATAGCTCATGTGCCATGCAGTTGCACCCGGGTGGTGAAAGATGGATTTGTGCTTACGAATCAAAGCCTCTGGAGAGTGCGATTGGATGATTGTAATGGGGGTGATCTTTCAATTATTGTAATGATCGTGATCTTTCTAAGATCCCTAAAACAAAATGCAGCTGATGATTGAGGGTTATGTAGAAAGTGCCCACCACATCTGCACAAGGAAAGCAGCAGCGGTTGAAGCCTTCTTGCATCCTTGCTACCAGCGCCTGAAACATGATGGGTTCATGTGTCGCAAGGGATAAAAATCCACTCAAGAGGGGCTCGAAAGTGGCCTCACCAACAGTACTTTGGTTTCGAAGCAGGTGATCCGCTTGAGCCTGACGATGGAGAGCAATTAACGGTGCCATATCCTGAGGGAAAATCATGTTGCTTGGGGCATATCTTGGGAGTTCAGCATGTGATTGCCAATAGGAAAAACAAACAAGACAACGCAAGAGGAAAGACCAGGGCACCGCATATTATTAACCAGCAGTTGCAATCTGTGCAGCCGTGCAAGCATGTGCTGCACATATTTACTGTCCGTTAAGTTGAATGGCAGCTCTGATTAGTGTCACTACTGAT